TTTCCGCGTGTCCGTGTGTGTGTGTGCGCGCGTGCATGCATGTGACGACGTAAAGTTAACATTTTGTACGGAGTATGGTACCTCTACTCAAGCTTACTTGGAGGAGGTTACAGTTGAGTGCCAAAGTTCCACTGCATTAGTTTGGTACGATCGGTTCATTTAACAAAAAGAGAAAGATTCACTTTCGTTTTGCTAAAATTGGCCCTAGATGCTCGCCCTGTTATAAGTTAAGCCTGCAAGTTTTTAAGCGATGTAATTTAAATGAAATGAAAATAAGCGTGCAGTTCAATAAAAAAAATAATGCTCGATGCGTTGTCAAATATGCGGCGTTTCATGCACAAAAAATAATCTGCCATCACCAACTGTGATATCCGTGGCAGTGTTTTTAACGCTGTTTTTATTAAACCACCCAGGGGCGTTCTAAAGTTCGTGACTTCTGACGCCTGCTTGAGAATTTGTTGGCAACGTACACATTTTGCAAATTATTTCGTGTGGCTTTTTTACGTCTCGCAGATCAAGAGATTTGCCAAGATGCCTCCCAATTTTTCCAAGTGGAAAGCTTAACGTCGCTCCCTTATCAATTTGCCGCTTTACCAAGGCCCCACCCCCATGACAGGTTTAACCCTTGTGATTGGTTGAGAATACTTCACGCGGGTCAGAGCCGTTTGGTAATGGGTCAATGGGAGAAGGGTCGTGGGGTCACAGCGCCGGTTTTAGGTATCGCTCGCCACTGAACGTTAGCCGTGTCCAGGTATCGAACTCGGGTCCATCGGGTTTGGAGCGCAGTTCTCGGACCTCTGCTCCATCGCCCCCCTGTATTGATTTTCGGCGTGACGCACGGTGGATGAATGTTTTAACTTAGCTGCGGGATGGTTGACGGCACTTACGGTGCAATGAATATTTGCTATTTAATTCGGTGGTATAAATTAATTTAATCGTTGCAGTGCACACTTTTGTAAATGTGCTGAATGTACTCTCTCAAATATCATAATTAAGCTAAATATATGAAAAAGTACCCTTGCATCCAAATTAGTGGACTCTAATCACGATGCTGGTCATCTGGGGCGTGTTTGACCATACTTCGCCACGCTGGGCAGCGCAGCAGCGTGGGGAAAGCGGTGTAGTGTGTGTGGGGGTCGATGGATAGGACTGGTTCAGACATCACTCTCCACCGATGATGTGATATTACCTACCGTCAATCCCCCACCCGTCTTGTGGTGCAGTGGCCGGCGTCAGACCTACGACAGTCGCAATAACACTGCATCGGCGGCGGTCCGCTGTGGCGTGGCGAAACACAAAGGCGGCCTTCATGGAAACGCACCGTCGCGATCGTTCGGTTCGAGCGAACAGTTGAGGGCAAACCGCTATTTTCAAAACGGTTCAGGTTATGCGTAGGTTTATTGGTGTACGAGAAGGAAAAATAAACGACTCAAAATGAAAACATGGTGAGGTTGCAGTCGGGCGTGAGCGGACGTGGCCGACTCGACACGCGCGTGCTCGTGTGTGTGTGTGTGCGTGTGTGTACTCGTGTGTGTGCGTGTGTGTGTGTGTGCGTGTCCGGCAAAACAACCCCCTACCTCCTCGCGGTGCCGGACGGGCAACTCTGTCGTGGACAGCGCTGTGGGGGGAGATCCAATTTTGATTGGCTCCTCCCCTCATGGCATATGTGTCCACCACAGGGGCTAAACGGGGGCTCTGGACGGGTGCGAGGGGCTGGTAACCCCTCCACCTTCAATTAATTACCACGAAACTACGAATTAAACTGAAATATGTAACAACTAAGCTTGTGCCGGAGGCCCCGGGGGGCCAGGCGTCTATGACGTCTCCTGGCCAAACCCCAATTGGCGGAGCCAGGAGATTGAATACCTACCCTCGGGGCTACTCCAGAAACAACGAAAAGCCACTACGGTTGGCCACGTGGAATGTTCGAACGCTCACTGCAGAGGAGAGGCTGCCACTCCTCTGTCGGGAGCTGGACCGGTACCGCCTGGATCTATGCGGCATTCAGGAGGTCCGGTGGACCGGCTCTGGCTCCTGCCACCATGAGGGGTGGACAGTCCTCTACTCGGGGCAGCAGACTGCCAAACAACAGGGTGTGGGTCTTCTTTTGAACAAAAGAATGAAGGGGGCGTGGGAGCGTGGCGGTGAGGTGTGGGAAGCTGTAAGCCCCAGGCTACTTTGGGCTCGCCTTCCCATCAACCGGAGGCGAGGAATGGTGGTCGTGGTTACTTATGCCCCCACCGAAGATGAACATCCGTGGAGGGATGCAGGCAAAGCCGATGAGTCAGATGCCTTCTATGACCTCCTGTCACAGGTGCTGGCTAAAGTGGCCCCTCGGGATAGAGTCATCATGTTGGGTGACTTCAATGCCCGAGTTGGTCATGATACTGGCACCTGGTCTGGAGTGATTGGAGGGCATGGGCCAGATCAGCTCAATAACAACGGTAGGAGGCTGCTAGATTTTTGTGCAGCCCATGGGCTTGTAATTACCAACACGCTGTTCCGGCATCGGCGCATCCACACAACATCATGGATGCATGCCGGGTCCAAGCAAGAACATCTGCTGGACTACATAGTGACGGACCAGCGAATGCGAGCCCATGTCCTTGACACCAGGACCTACCGTGGAGCTGATCTGCCCTCTGACCATCGACTAGTCATCTGTAAGATGCGCCTGCCATTCTTCCACTCCGGTGGTGGGTGTACACCCAGGACCCCATTCCAACCTAAAGTGGCCTGGTCTCAGTTATCTGATGAAAGTTGCAAGCGAGAATTTCATCATCGCTTGCGGCTGGGATTGGCATCGTCCCCGACTCCTCCTGATGTCGAGGGTAAATGGGCGAGGTTTAGGACTGTGACTCATGCAGCTGCAATGGCTGCTTTGGGTACGCGGTCCAGACCTCCCCAGACACCCTGGATGACAGAGGAGTTGTTCACGATGGTTGAGAAAAAGCGACAGGCCCACTGTCATCGGCTACAGAATCCCACGTCAGAGAATGAGGAGGCTTACCGCAGCCTTCGCTCGGAGGTTCGGAGAGCCGTGAGGCGCTGCAAGGATGGGTGGTGGTCGCGGGTTGCTGAGGAGATGGAGTCTGCCTCAGTGGCCCGTGATCACAAATCTCTATTTAACTCCATCAAAAAAGTAACCTGCAGCGCCACACCTATTACCATCATTAGGGGAAAAAACGGTGATCCAATTTCCGACCCCCAGGAACAGGTTCGCAGATTTGCTGAGCATTTCTGTGAGGTCCTGGGGGAGGGAAAATCCCTCAGCCAGGAAAACATCGTGGCACAAAGTGAGGATGACCCTGCTGAGGCTGCGGTGCCTCAAATATTGGATGAAGTCACCCCCTGTGAGTGGCTGGCTGAGGTGCCATCTGCTGAGGAAGTATTGAAGGCGATCCGGAGTCTGAGACCAGGAAAGGCAGCGGGCAGAGATGATCTCCCAAGCGAAATGCTGAGGGAGGGTGGCGTTTGTGCACAGACTGCCCTATATGACATCATAACAACAGTCTGGACCACTGGACGGGTTCCGCAGGATTGGAAGGATGCCCTGGTGGTCCCCCTTTTTAAGAAGGGGGACCGCACAGACTGTAACAACTACAGGGGCATCTCACTCCTCAGTGTGCCGGGAAAGGTCCTGGCAAGGATTATTCAGCATCGCCTTGCCAGGCACGCTGAGGAGAGGCTTGCGGAGCCCCAATGCGGTTTCAGGAAAGGGCGGTCCTGCACAGATGCCATATTTTCTGTCCGTCTGCTACAGCAGAGGTGTAGGGAATTCCAACAAGACCTACATCTCTGCTTTATTGACCTGGTCAAGGCCTATGATACCATCAGTAGGCCTGGGCTCTGGGTCGTTCTTCGTGCTTTTGGAGTACCTGACCCTCTCCCTCTCACATCAAGCAGCGCGTCTTCAATGCAGCACACAGCTGCATCGCAAGCGATCAAGAATATGGGGTGTGACCCGATTCAAATCTGCAATTATTTTCGGTCTCATTTCCAGTCGGTTTGTTACTGGTGTTTGTTTCCGTCTTGTGGGTGTCGTTTCGTTTACTCCATCAACCCTATCCCGACGGACCGCTGTTCCACACAGTGGTGGGCAGAATTTACGACGAAGAGTAACGTTACGTCACGTGACGATCGTACCGACAGTTTGAATTTCCAGAACAAGAATTTAGCCACATTCAGTGTAGAAATAAAACGATTGGAGAGAAGGCGCGAGTTCGGAGGAGATGGGTGGGTCGTAGGTGGAGGGTTGGTTCCATTTGCCCCCCCCGCAGTGTCACAGATGCGAGCCTCCCCGGAGAACGTAACCCCTGCACGCCGAGGAGAGGTGTCTGTACAATTAAACAAGTGTCTGTGCCGATAATTACAGGAGCTGTGTGTTTAATTACGTGCTAATTAAGGCTCGGCAGCACACCGCTAGGGGGTGGCCGCCTGACGCCCGTCTGCGCCGACGCCGGCACAGCCGCCACGGCAGGCGGAGGGCAGTGGAAAGGAGACGGCGGCGCGAGGGGGTCCCGCCTGTGCCGCTCCCTCCGGACCCGTCGCAACATCGCCATCTCGGCCCGAGCGTCCGGGGTGGGCCTGAACCGCACCGCTATCGGCGCGATCCGGTCTGCACTGTTTGGGGATTGCGGTTGGGGCGGTCGTGGTGGTGGTGGTGGTGGAGGTTGTGCCTGGGTAATTGTGGGGGCCGTGGACGCCGCTAGGGTAATACGTGTTGTGTGCACCTCTGAAATGCTACTTTGTATTTTTGTTGTTGCTGCTGCGTGTTTGTGACGTGCGTCACTGGAGAGGATGGTTAATTCAATACGGGGCTCCGGCCTGGTGTGTAAGAGTTCTGTGCATGGGCAATTACGCCACAACCAAATTTCGAGAGCAAGGCAGTAAGATTAAAACACAATCGTGACGCCTTGTGGGCCCGTCTTCTGCGAAATAACATTCATAAACGATGAATACCTAAACGTTGCTCTCGTGTCCAATGTTGTGATCATCAGGTTCCGTGCCCTGGCCGTGCTGTAATTCCATCAACCATGGAAATTCGGGCGTAAACACAACACAAATTGGATTTATAATTCATCCCAAGTGCGAGACCGCATCTCCAACCGGCGTACAAATGGGGAGGACGTGCACATCGAGGTAATAGTTGCATGCCCGAGTCTAGAATCACCTTGCACGCTTCATAGTGTAAAACACCCATTGTGAACGATTGGAAATGTGGCACGCGAAGCCGCAATGACACTCGAAGCAAAATTCCCAGACGTTTTTTATTATTATGATTACCGCCTGTAAGGGGAGTGCGGCGCGTTTGGCTTTCGTAACGAGCGAGCTTCTCGTTGTGTCCTTTCGGTATCGAATTAGAAGCACGACGCTGTGCCGTGCGCGTGTGCACGTGTGCACGTGTGCGTGTGCGTGTCACATCGTGTGTGCGCGTGTGTGTGTCACATCGTGTGTGCGTGTCACATCGTGTGTGTGCGTCTTAGCCCAGGTGCATTTTTTTTAAAGGTGCATTTTTAGAAACGCGCCGTTGTGCGTGCACGTGTGAGATGGCGACGGCTTTGGGGAGGCCTTCATACAGCAGTGGATCGACCATGGCCGATGACGGCGATGATTATGATGATGACGACGATAATGCATACAGCAATATATATTTTTGTTCAATTTATGAAAAATGTCAACATTCATCACTTGCGCGAAAGGGGGGAAAAACTAAAACACACGGGGATAATTTTACGGCATTCTAAAGAAATAAAAAATATATCTTCGGCGTTTTAAGAAATGTTTAATAAAACATAGTAATGCTCGTTCAACGCCCGTACTTAAGTTTATTAAAATGTAATACTTGAATGGAAAGGAACAAATCAATGTTTTAGCTGACAGACCATTACTCAAAAACTATTTCACACGCACATATATACCTACGTACGTACGTACATACGTCCGTGAGTGTGTGTGTGTTTGCCGTGAATAGGATTGGCACTTTTAATTCAAGTGCTATAACTGAGTTTAACAAAGAAAATCTGGATTTAAGCCTTGGGCTGTGGAGCCGAGCCGTGCACACGTGTGCGAGGAGAGGGGCCAGAGGAATGTTGAGGCTTGCGGAGCACCAATCAATATTCCACCACTCGTGCTATAGGGCTATTGAAGTGTAATCTATTCACAATTGATTTGAGAGCTTAAAGGGACCTCGGGCTCTTTACAAGTAATTGGATGTTCTTATATTATGAGGTTCTTCCCACCCCACCACCCCCTCCCTCACCTTCGTCATGCACACATAACTTACAGATTAAATAATTCAATGAAGGCACGGCCTCCCGAGTTATTTCCGACCGTCGCAGGTGTATCTCTGTTTGCTTATTTTTTTGTTATTCGCTAAATTTCACCGATGCCACGCCACCAGCAGGATGCCTCGTATGAAGCCCACTGAAAGGCTGTCGGGGCAGGTGACAACGGCGAGCACATAATTAAGGCTGGCAAACAAATACACGCGCAGGGGGTAGTTAAACCTCGTTAACGACGACGAGGTGAGCTATGAAAATGAATGTTACGTCTGCGTGATGCAGTGCTTGCTTCGAAGACGCACCGCGACCAATTGTACGGTGGAGCAAGCGCTCGCGAACGCGTTGACGTTCATCGTACACAGTTGCACTTTTAATATTTTTTTTTACAGGTACGTGTAGCAATGCTTATGCTCGTCATAGTCATAATGAATAACAATTTCCCCTTTTGATGAGTTACAGTGCAGTTGTGGTTGAGGGGCAACAGCGTGTGTAGGCATTCAGGTGCTGCGCCATGCACCTGACGATCCGGGTTCGATTCCCGGCGACGGTTGACACATCAGTGGTGAGCGAATTTCTGAACAGGTCCTGCTCCCCGGCCCCTCCTCCTCCCCCCCCCCTCCTCCTCCCCCCGCCATCCCCACTTTAGCACTCTTTTATGACCAGCGGGGTGAAGTATAGTCAAATAAACCACCACGGCTGACACGACACGGAGGCGGGCTGGCGGGCGGGCGGGGTGGGGGGAGGCCTTTATACAGAAGTGGGTTCTATTTCATTGGGATATGTTCAGGCGCTAAATGCGAATAGTCGATGTTTACAGGCCACAACAGAGCTTCGATAGTTTTGCGCTTCCGTTGAAGGAGCGCAGACTTTGGCGGCTCGCTCTTATGCGCTCGATGTTTTGGGGTTTACATGGCTGCAGTCGCACGCTTTTGGCTTGTCTTCAGTTTTCCTTTTCACGAAGGAGATGTGTGCACTTTCGCGGATTATGTCATTGTGAAAAAATGCAGTAAAAATAGAGTGTGCAGCTGTTTGTTTGTGGCTGAATATCCACATTCATTTTCATCCGGATGCACAATGATGCACGGTACCGCGATGTCTCTTTTTTTTTACTTGATGCGACTTTTAAAACAAAAGCGGCAACTGGTGAGGGAGGTAAACCGACGCCACTTAAAGATTTAAGGTCCTTTGTGTTGGGGTAATGCGAGTCGATAGCCATTGCTGTTTTTTTAAACGAGAATTTGCTCACCTTTTTTTATTTAGTAAGAGACATAAATAATGAGACGCTGCATCACAGTGACACTCAAAGCTAACTGACACAATGCAACGCTTGCAGAGAACGCCGCTATCATTCTCAGCTGTTTATCACCGAAATGCACTGGCGGCAAAAAGGACGATATATTGAGATGCGTGGGAAAAAAACAAGAATTTTATAGTCTGATGCGAAGCTTTGATGTGACTTGGGTTGAAAATAAGATACGTACTTTCGCGTTAATCTGCGTGATATGTGCTGAAATAGATTCATTTATCTGTGGCATGTTGTCTCGATTTCCTCCTCGTGTTGATTATCGTTTGGTGGTTTTTGCCGTATGATGTTGATTTTCTTATCAAGGCTGGATGGTACGTTTTAATTGTAACTTACGTTGGCGTCTGTCTTGTTGTGTAATGTGCCATATTTATCCGTAATTAAAAATTGTCAGTGCCATTGGTTCATGGTCAGAGTGATGATCAAAGTCTTCGTGGGAGAATGCATTACAGTGAGGGAAAAAAGTATTTGATCCCCTGCTGATTTTGTACGTTTGCCCACTGACAAGGAAATGATCAGTCTATAATTTTAATGGTAGGTTTAGTTTAACAGTGAGAGACAGAATAACAACAACAAAATCCAGAAAAACACATGACAAAAATGTTATGAATTGATTTGCATTTTAATGAGGGAAATAAGTATTTGACCCCTCTGAAAAACATGACTTAGTACTTGGTGGCAAAACCCTTGTTGGCAATCACAGAGGTCAGACGTTTCTTGTAGTTGGCCATCAGGTTTGCACACATCTCAGGAGAGATTTTGTCCCACTCCTCTTTGCAGATCTTCTCCAAGTCATTAAGGTTTCGAGGCTGACGTTTGGCAACTCGAACCTTCAGCTCCCTCCACATATATTTTCATGGGATTAAGGTCTGGAGACTGGCTATGCCACTCCAGGACCTTAATGTGCTTCTTCTTGAGCCACTCCTTTGTTGCCTTGGCCGTGTGTTTTGGGTCATTGTCATGCTGGAATACCCATCCACGACCCATTTTCAGTGCCCTGGCTGAGGGAAGGAGGTTCTCACCCAAGATTTGATGGTACATGGCCCCGTCCATCGTCCCTTTGATGCAGTTAAGTTGTCCTGTCCCCTTAGCAGAAAAACATCCCCAAAGCATAATGTTTCCACCTACATGTTTGACGGTGGGGATGGTGTTCTTGGGGTCATAGGCAGCATTCCTCCTCCTCCAAAGACGGCGAGTTGAGTTGATGCCAAAGAGCTCCATTTTGGTCTCACCTGACCACAACACTTTCACCCAGTTGTCCTCTGAATCATTCAGATGTTCATTGGCAAACTTCAAACGAGCATGTATAAGTGCTTTCTTGAGCAGGGGGACCTTGCGGATGCTGCAGGATTTCAGTCCTTCACGGCGTAGTGTGTTACCTATAGTTTTCCTTGGTGACTATGGTCCGAGCTGCCTTGAGAGCATTGACAAGATCCTCCCGTGTAGTTCTGGGCTGATTCCTCACCGTTCTCATGATCATTGCAACGCCACGAGGTGAGATCTTACATGGAGCCCCAGGCCGAGGGAGATTGACAGTTCTTTTGTGTTTCTTCCATTTGCGAATAATCGCACCAACTGTTGTCACCTTCTCACCAAGCTGCTTGGCAATGGTCTTGTAGCCCATTCCAGCCTTGTGTAGGTCTACAATCTTGTCCCTGACATCCTTGGAGAGCTCTTTGGTCTTGGCCATGGTGGAGAGTTTGGAATCTGATTGATTGATTGCTTCTGTGGACAGGTGTCTTTTATACAGGTAACAAGCTGAGATTAGAAGCACTCCCTTTAAGAGTGTGCTCCTAATATACAGGTAACAAGCTGAGATTAGGAGCACTCTCTTTCAGAGTGTGCTCCTAATCTCAGCTCGTTACCTGTATAAAAGACACCTGGGAGCCAGAAATCTTTTTGATTGAGAGGGGGTCAAATACTTATTTCCCTCATTAAAATGCAAATCAATTGATAAATTTTGTGACATGCGTTTTTCTGGATTTTCTTGTTGTTATTCTGTCTCTCACTGTTCAAATAAACCTACCATTAAAATGATAGACTGATCAATTTCTTTGTCAGTGGGCAAACGTACAAAATCACCATGGGGATCAAATACTTTTTTTCCCTCACCGTATGTAAACTTTAATGTCATGTGTGAACTATCTATAAATTTCAGAAAATGTCTTGTAGACTGATGTTATTTCATTCGATTTCAAGAATTGAATTGCGGCAACGGGTGGCTAGACATTCGAACTGTTTCCCAGTAGAGTTGCAATATCCTCCAAAGTTATTCAGATTGTATAACTCAATTTACATAAGAAAGCTATCAATACTGCACAATGTAATTGAGCAACAGCGTGTCAGTTACAAGTGCGTCCCCTTGTGAGAATACTGACATGCACCTGTATACACTCCCCATGCATGCATGTTTGCATAACAACACATGATATCTGTTCATGTTTAACAAAAATTACAATCATTATTCATCCAGGAAAGTTGCGCTGTGTCCAACGACTCCTTTTCCGAAGAGTGTTACAACACAGGGTTTTTATTTCAAGACATTATCAGACAATTTATGATGATTATTTGATATGTGGGAGGAAACTGGAACAATCTATCCCGGTACTTTTGGTAACGGATGGAGATTAGTTCACAGTTGTTGTACCGCCTTCTCCTGGCGAATCAGGGTACGGTAACATCCACGCCCACAGGAAGGAAGTTTCACAACATTTTTGCGGTAATCCACCAACCCTGGATTACAGGCCACAAGCATAGCCACCACCGCATGGCTAAAATGAATATCTAACGATGATGATGAACTTAATGAGTGACAGCTCATATCTTTGTTGTCAAAAAATCTGAGATGGTGAACGTTCTCTCTCCATTTACATGTATGCCTTTGTTTCTACTGGAACAGCCACACTGAGATTACGTTGAGAAATTAACGAAACGCCTGTCACAGGGCAAGTCGAACAATGTGACGCGCTTTCGCCATTCAAGGGAAGACGTTTTCTCAAAATTATTCACCACCCGTAGTAAAGCGATGATGGTCATGATTTACAGGCCTTTTGTCAGTCCACTCCTGAATGAAGGCCCTCCACACGCCACGTCCAGTATACCCGTCGATATATACGGCATATACATTTCAAGCATTGGCCAACAGAAAAATTACACAGTGTCTCCGACAGCGAGGCGTCGTATAAATACGCTCGCTGAAGGAGCGCGGCGGAGCCTGTGGACCGGCTTGAAGTGCGTGCGCCTGCGCCAGCCTAACGCGAAGATTGCTCGTAATTGCAGGAACGTTGTTAAACGCGGAGCGCCGCGCGTGCGTGCGTGGACACGAGCGTGCGTGGACACGAGCGTGCGTGGACACGAGCGTGCGTGGACACGAGCGTGCGTGGACACGAGCGTGGGGCGCCGCGCGTCCAAACGTGTGGTCCGTGGACACATACGCGCGTGTGTACGACCGCGGCGCCCCGCGTGTACACGCGCAGCCCTGGATATATAATCAGAAATTGACTACACGTTACATTATACTGTCATTACTGTAATTGCCAGTACCCACAGAAATTATGTTGGTGAGCTGCGCTTATTAAAGTCACTTGTTTAATGGAAGTATTTTGTAATTATAACAAAGAACACGACCTCTTTATTACGAATCCTCCCGCAGAAGTTATTTTTTTTTACGATTATTATGAAAAAACATATTAAACTGGAAGCAACTTTTGAACAAGCAAAGTGATTAGAGTGAAAGATTAATTTGCATAAAAGAATTTGACTTCAGTTACAAATGAGAAAAAAAAATATTGAATATGTAAATTGCTTTAACAGCATGGCACATCAGTTTTTAAAAACAGTCTCGTAGCCAAAGGGAACATTTTAAGTGCTCGCATTTGCCTGGTAATTTCAAATTTTCTGCTGGGAAACATGAAAAACGATCCCACGTGCTTGCAGTTGAGAAAAAAAAAACCTTTCTTGGTTGACGTTAATTTAAAGTTTAAAGGGCTAATTTGTTTGAACTGGCGTATTTAATTTATAAGAACCTCCGGGCCCATTATATGTTTTAATAACTTCCAAATCACTTGAGTGCGGGGTGGATTGCGCGTAAGATCCCGTTCGTTGCCATTCCCTCAAAAATTCCGGTATCTTCTTCGCGCCGTTTGCTTTTATCGTAATTTGCTCTCCCAACGAAAATTCGCGGACGTCCGTACGTGCGTACGTGTTATTCGTTAAACCGGTCGCGCGCACTGTGGCGCGCGGGCAACGCGCGCCACGTTGGCTCTCGCGGTGTTATTCACATTCTAAAAAAGACACCGCTGCATGGGGCTATTGTGACAGTTGGCCTCCGAGTTCAGAGGGTGTGGAAATGTCTCGCGGTTTCTGACGTTTGCTTAAGAGGTGTTTAGTCGCCGGCTAATAAGAAGCCGATTTTTGAATTGCGAATGGTTTTTTTTTCTTCCCTTCCCTGTGCCCAAAGACAAAATTGGCCCCACAAGAATGTGCGAAGGAGGAGAAATACGATGTAAATAAATAACTAGACGTGGGAAGGCATTAAGGGAAGGTTTTGGGGGGGGGGGGGGGGGGTTGAGGGCAAGGAGGGCAGGTGGGGGGGGGGGCTGGTCTCCTAACAGGTGGATAATGAGGGTGCAGAGCGAGGGCGGGTATTTTTTTTTTTCCCCGTCACCGCTATTTCGCGGGGAGAGACAGCGGGAGTTCCTTTGCACTCGGCTCCGTTCTCATCATTACGCTCAAGAAACTAATTAATTCGGCTTCGCAGTGGCCCCTAGGAGGGCCCAGGCCTCTCGCTTTGATCCGGTGGCGTAAGAGTCATCTCGTTCGCGCTAATTGGGGTTTGTTGTGCGGCGACAGGAACCGATTCAACACCCCTCCTGCCCCCCCCCCCTCCACCAACTTACACCCCCCGCCTCCCCCTCGGATATGCGCATGGGTGGGAGCCCCTCGGTCCCATCTGTCTCCGTGAAGTGAACCAAATGTTGCGGTGATGTTTAAAAAAAAAAATCCATTTTGTCTCGTTGATTTTACCTAACTTTACGTTAACGTTTTTTTTTTTCCCCCCTCTCCCGTTCCTTGTTTTGCTCGGAATGCTCCCCCCCCCCGCCCCGCCCCCTCTCCGCCCCACCTGTTGTCACGTTCGTCGTTGCCCGCCGCTCCGTTGCGAACCGCCGGACCCCGGCCCAGGGGGAGCTGCTGCGAGCCGTGGAGACCCTCGACGACTACAAGAAAGGCGTCGCTCGTCCTGGGGTTGACGGACAAGCAGGTAGCGCGACCTCGGGCGTCACGTCCCGCGCGTCACGTGTCCGCGCGGGGTTCACGCCCGAGATGGAGAGGCACGCCGACGCGCCTGCGAGCGTGGGGGCGGCGCCACGCCGCGGTTCGCGCGCCCTGCGCCACGAACCCGGCCACCCGAAGTTCGATTCCCGCTCGCGGACAACGTCGGCGACGATTGCCTGGACCGGTCCCGGGCCTCCCTTAGCTTGACTCGGCCTCAAACGAGCAGCTGGTGCGATGTGTAAAAGTTATCGCCGCCCGGGAGGAGACAAAGGCGGCCGGGCGTGGATTCCGGCCCACCCACCCCCTTTGTGGGTGCTCGCCAACAGCGCTTGTCCCAACAGTCGACGAGGCTATACGGGGGGGGGGGGATCCTTTGCCTTTGTGCGCATGCGCGTACCGCCGACGCAGGTTCCGCCGTTGGAACCACGCGAGCGCCGCCGTCCATGATTCTTTTCGCTTGAGAATCGGCACGAATCCGTAGCCACATCCGTCGTGCTGCGTTGAGGAACTTCTCAAACTTCTCAACGCAGTGCGGTATCCATCTGGCTCGTTTTCCCAAACGCATTTTTATTTGCTTGGGGTTTCGCTGATGTGCGTGTGTATTTGGCGCGCGATGTGAAATATTTCAAAAGGCGCGTGTTGGTTGGTTTGCGTGAATTAACGGTTAGCGTTCCCGCATAATATGCAATTGTTTACATTGCAATTAGTCGCTGAGTCACTTTACTGTTGCATGTGGTGATACATTCTGAGTGTCCCTGTTCAAATAATCCAATTACGTTATTATTATATGACTTCACAAGAGAAAACATGACAATTGTGGTTTAGGAAATAAATGCGGTGATGTCAATGGAATAGTATTCATATGCCTGCTTTTGTGGTGTTTCTGTACGTTAAATACAGCCGTTATTTTCTGTTCGTTTAAAAATGAATTTACAATTAATACCTACCTGCTATATTTCAACAATTATTATCCAATTAACGCTAAATTAGCAGTTGCATTGATTCACTTAATTGGGTCATAAACAAATTGTGTTCATCCTTTCAACACAATACTTTGAAATTGCAACGTGAACTGCTTAATTGGTATGTAAATGAGGCGTTCACTTATGTATTGTGTGCATTGTACACACACACACACACTCTCAAAATACATTTATGTTTGAAGATACCTTCTCATTTCTTAATCGTTTATTTAGCCGAATGCACGATTGCCAAAGGGACCATGAAATGAAGATAGCCCCCAGTTGGTGTTCCAGGTGATGAATTTACATCTCGAGCCACCGCATTAATAACCAACTCACAGATGTCACCGGTGTTGCTCGAGAAGGTCGCCCTTCAAGACAGGTTTTCAGTTGACTTGGTTTCAATTAAATGGCAGCACAAGTCTGGCCACTTGGCACGTGTGTGTGTGGTCCTGGCCTTCCCCTAGGTCGACTCGGCCTCAAATGAGTACCTGGTGCGGTGTGTAGTAAACATCGCTGCTACGGAGACAAAGGCGGCCGGGCGTGGTGTTGGCCACCCACCCCCTCGTGTGCCGTGCCGGCCTTCATAGGTGCTCGCTAACAGCACTTGCCCCTACAGTCTGTTAAGGCTATGCGGGGAATCTTTGTCTTTTTTGGATATATATGTGTGTGTGTGGGGAGCGATAGTGTGGCGGTTCGCGCGATGCGCTACAAACCCGGCTACCCGAGTTCGAGTCCCGCTCACGGCCAACACCAGTGATGATTATCTGAACCGGTCGTGGGCCTCGCCTAGGTGGACTCAGCCTTAAATGAGTACCTGGTGCGGTACGTTAACATTGCCACCGGGGAAACAAAGGCGGCCGGGCGTGGTGTTGGCCACCCACCTCCCTCGTGTGCCGTGCCGGCCTACATAGGTTGCTACTCGCTAACAGCACTTGCCCCTACAGTTTGTTCTATCCGGGGGACACTTGTCTTTGTTTTTTCCCTGATATTTCCACATTGACTTGTCTTGGCTGGTAGCGCTGTTTAATTGGGAAATGGGCCAGGAAAAAGGAAAAGGCTGCAAGGTAAATGGATGCTAATAAATCCAATTCATCGCTTCATTGCCACCTCCCCCCCCCCCCCCCTCTAATTTAATGGTTTAATTTACACATCTCTCTCTGCCTCTCAACAGGATCCTGCCAGTAATTGACGCTTAAATTGATTAGTTAATTTACCAATATAGTACTTAACTAATTCGTGCATTTCATTATCATTATCTCTACTTACCAACACGATTCCGGTAAATACGAGTGCAGTTTAAAACATATATATCTAATATAAAGCTGAGGATTGAATGGTTGAAGTGGTTGACATTTTCTTAGAGATTCACAGAAATCATTCTCGGGGAAAAACCCTGACTATACATTGATTTTAACTAACTATGTCATTTTTTTAAATTTGACCAGTTAAGGCACACTGAGCTATATAGTTATTTTTCAGAAGCGATTTGGTCACAAATTATAGCTCAACGAAGTGGCTTATCATCACGTGGGAATGTATAGCAGCCAAATACTCTAAACGCATGATGTTGATTCTAAATGCGGAGGGAAAAACTAGAGGACCCAGAGAAAAATCCACACTCCAACGGGGAGAACATGCAAACTTTAAATGTACAGGCGTCAGGGTTGGCATCGAACTTACAACCTGCTGTATACCAGGCAAGGTAGTTAACATCTCGCCACCATAGAAGTTTGCGTGGTTCTACATTGGTGATGGAAACATACTGTGTGTATTTTTGTAATATGCCGAATCCAAATTTAACGTTCGCTTGTAGGTTTTTTTTCGGGAACACACGTGTGCAAATCTCGTCAGTGGGAGAGGCTCAAACTCTGGTTTCGGCCACTTGTGTCGGAAGCTGACATTTGACCTTCGACCAAGTCCCATTCCCCTTTGACTCCGCGTAGCAAAGGGGATTTGGTTGTTAAGGTTTGATGGCATCGACGCTGAGGCCTGGGGGGGTCAATGTGAGTGCTTGTTCGATGCCAAAACACTCATTGATGGAATTGACCAAACATCCGAATGAAGCGGGCCCTCCTGAAAACAGTGTGCAGAGACTCAGAGAGAGCCTTTCTTTTGTTAAATACTGGAATCATTAATTGGCATTTCATGTTATTTTCAAAATGAACTCCAACAAGCAGTGATACTTATGAACAGTCGTGACAACAATTGCAGTAATTTTAGGAAGACTTTCCTTGGTAAATATATTAATATAATTATTATTGATCTTGGTCTGGCCTATGTGTTACGGATATAGTGCGACCTGGCATACATTTTAGATGTGCAAGTCTGGACTTGACGATGATAACCCACAGGGGTTTATTTAACATTTTGTCTGACTTCGTCCCTAATGTAAGAGTGAAATGTCTTGTCGCATGATGGGGTGGCATGTAAACGTCATGGCATTGTTAAGTTAAATACTCAAATGAAGACTGCTCTGGTTTTTATTTTAATAGTTGTTTGACCATATGCCCCCGGTGGCTCAGCGGGTTTCGGTTGGAAGCCTTTGAGTTCGAATTCCAGTCGGGGTCGAGTCAGCCCATGATCCATCTCGGTTCAATAAAATATATACAACTTTATGAGGAAATCAAGAGCGGTTATCTTTTATAAATACTCTCTCGCCAAAGAAATGTGGATTTCATACCACGAGCTCAGGGCTGTGAAGAGTAGGTGAGCACCACCCTATGTCCAGTTCAGTGGGAAACCTACTTGGGCTATTTTGAAAATAATTATTAGTGGTTGGTGAATGAAGACTCAATTATTATAACTATTTAATCTTCATTCACCAAGCCACACTGACCAGTGTGGTGAAGTAATGATCCGGCCGGTGGTGGCTACGCACCCCTCTAATCCAGCACTGTAGACGCGAGGGTTAGTGGATCACACAAATCACGTGAAGCTCCCTTTGTGTGGATGTCCAGGAGGTGTCATTCCCTGTCTCGCCAGGAGAATGCAGTACAGCAAAATTGTGGACGCCACCAGTTCCGTCTGTGGGATAGAGTGTTTCCCCCTTGCATGCGTGGGTTTTCTCCCAGTGCTCCGGTTTCCACCCACGTGTGAACACTCCTTAATTGGCCAATAATAGCACCTTATTATGCAGAGGAACATGGAGCTTGGGAAATTGTTGGCACCGTGAGGCTGCATTCCCGCCTGTCTGGTTCCTGGCGCCTCTGAGTCGTCTCCTGTTTTGGATAGTGAGTGAATACTGTGCGTTGCGTTACAAGTTGAAATTTGCATTATTATGACTGACGGCAGTGGATTCACGAAGGGCTGTGAAAACCAAAACATTTTACTGTCAATGTTACATTGAATAAAATAAAGAATACTAGCAACAATAATAATCATATAAAAGCAATCGTTTTTACATGCTATGGTTCTTTCGGTAAAGTCACGTAGATAGAAAAATAAAGTGATGAAAAATATCACGACGTTTTGATCGCAACACAAGCGGTCCTGATGACGTTTCAATCGCAACACAAGCGGTCTTAATAGAATATGAATTCCTGCAGTGACGAAAGTTTTAAGTCAAAATCGTTGTTCTGTTTTCTGTTTTTGCAGCTCTGGGAAGCGCAGAAAGTCAAGCAGGTATGTAATCCACGTTCTCGGTGCGATCCGGACCCTCCCAGTGAAAGCCGTGAGCAAACCCAGGGGCGGCAGCGGCAGTGACGGCGCGGGCTTCCCAGCGCAAACGCACACCGAGTTCGTCAGCTCCCCGACGCTCGGTACAAAGCCTCCCAGACCTGGACTTTGGGGGAGGGGGGGGGGGCGGGGTGGGCAATCCATTTGAACTCGTCCAAGCGATGAAACAAAAGCACAAGAACGTCCGCACGTCCGCACGCACGCACGAGGCTGACCGAACCTGAACTTCATTGTCCTCGCCCACAATGCCCTACTCTGTACGCTGACCCCCCGAACAGAGACGTTTGAGACGATTAGAGAGTCACTCGGGGATCAGACGTGGAAGCCCCTCGGAGTGCGCGCACAGTTGGTTTAACATTTGCATAATCCACCGAGATCGGCCATCTCCGGCCCCGCTCGCTCGCTCTGCAATGCGGCGGCCGCATTAACATTTTTGCGCGTTGCAATCAACTCGTCATCGGCTCTCCGCGGAGACTGAGCCTTTGTGCTCTAATCCGAGGGCGAAGCGATTTACGTCCAGGCCACTCGAGCCGCGATATTGTGCGTGATATCGGCTTTGTTTGCCAGAGAGCCCTTTCCTCTTGCCACCCTCCTTTCATTTTCTTGGTCCTCTTTTTACCTTAAGATTTTGGAACCGGACGATGTGCTAATTGTCCGTTGTGGTGCTGTGCCAGTGTGTAATTTATTCAAGTATTCGATCATTGATAAAGATACATCTATATCTCTTGTACGATGATGATAATGGTGATGATGATAATTATGACAGTGGTGATTTTGAAATTAATATACCGTCTCTGTTGGCGATGTTAGGCCGGTAGATTTTCGAAGTGATCGCTGTATCAGGGAGGAAAGCCAAGTGCTAAGAGAAAGCCCCCGCATCGTTCAATGTGCTGAATGGATGAGCAAATGTTAACTTACTTTCCCGCTATGCAGGAGATTATGGGTTCGATCCCAACCCTCGTGTGGATTTTTCTCAGGCTCCTCCGGGTTTTCCCTCCATTTTTAGAAACTTGCGTTTTCGAGAATTTAGGTGCTATAAATTTCTACATGATAAGCCACTTTGCTGAGCTATCATTTGTGGCCAGGTCGCTTTTGAAAATGAGCTATATAGCTCAGTGGGCCTTACCTGGTAAAATAACAATTTGTTTCATTTTAGTTTATAATTGCAATTTCCGGCCTACTTGCTCTTAGAGACGCACGTTTACTAAAATGTACTTTTTTAAGTTTTTGAAAATGAATTGCCATCTACAGCGACAGAAATAGGTGACCTTACAGTTTAGGTGATTGTGGCTTACAACGTGGCTGCCGGCACAGCTCACCATTCATAGTGGCCTACATTGACACAAATTCACGGGGCATCTTTTGGCTGCACCTCGCCTCGTGAATGCGCGCGCCGTTTGTGGCAGCCTTCGTCCAGCAGTGGATTGGCACGCAGATGCGCAGTTTGTTCGTAATAAGTTTCATTTGCAAGCTGTTTAGCGGGAACAGTCGTAACGAACGATAGGAATGTTTGTCGCCATGGAAAATGTGCGCATGCAACAGTGCCTTGAGCGACAGTTTCACAGCGTGAATCGTTTTGTTCTATCCACGAGGACGTCAACTCGGAAGTTGTGTGGCAGAGTTTAAAATAATGATTTCAGATTGAATTTTGTTTCGCTAACTTTGCCGTGTCATCCTGTGTCCGTTTGGCACGAGATGATTTCCGCCGCGCACCATTCGCAACCGTGATCCTATTTGACGAATTGTGTTTAATTTAGCGCCTCTAGTGGCTGCTGCAGGGTTTTCACCAAAGCGCAACCACTTTAAATCTTACACAGGTCAACAATAAGTCGTTCACGCAACACACAAACTCGCACGCACGCGCTCCCAATCGGTATGTTTGGAACACTTGGTGTTAATTGATTAATCAATGCATCGTCAGTCACACGCCTAGTGTCCACATGCTATGGTGCCGGAGAGTTCATTTCTCTTGCTCCCTTCCTCAGGACTGCTCTGCGATCCGTCATCTTTTTTCCCAAAGTTGCTATAACCTCGCCGAATCAAAGAAAAAAAAATTGTCTTAGCTAATTTCTGCTGCGATATAATTAGCGCTTTGAGATCTTGATCACCTTTGTTGGCATTCGGCGCTTGTGCTAAGCAATGCCATTAAAACACTAACAAGTGATATTGATGAATCAAAGTTCCTTTTTTAGTACATGGCCCATTTTACTGCCTGTTTGCAGTCGATAGACCAAAGAAATTATATTTTTTTTTAAATGAAAACCCCCACTAGGCCTGGAATGTTCATCATAAGCCAGATGTTGGTGGAGGCCCAGGACACGAGTCAGGAGCAGGGCACAGGCTCTCTCGTGGCCGAGGCTAACCAGCACGCACACGCGCAGACACAGACACGCACACGCACGCACACACGTACACGCACGAGCACACACAAAGCACATGCAGGTAGTAGGCACGCGCATGCATACATGCACACGCGCACACATGAAAATTCTCGCACACGGGGAATTCACATGGACGCAGGCGCACCCTTGCGCGCATGCACACAGTCATATGCAGATGCGCGTTTACGTACAGACTGTTGGGGCAAGTGCTGTTAGCGAGCGCCTAGCGAAGGCCGGCGCGGCATGCGAGGGGGTGGGCGTCTGGCACAACGCCCGGCCTCCTTTGTCTCCCCAGTGGCGATGTTTACACATCACACTAGATATTAATTTGAGGCTGATTCGACCTAGGGGAGGCCCAGGACCGGTTCAGACAACTGTCGCTGGTGTTGGCCATGAGCGGAAATCAAACTCGGGTCATCGGGTTCATAACGCAGCGTGCTACCCGCTACACCACCACTCCCCACAAAGACACACGTACAGACACACGTACAGACACACGTACAGACACAGGCACACACGAAGACGCACGTGCACTGGCGTACACACTCATCCATAAACGTTGGCCCCGTTCTCCCCTCTGTCCCGAAAGTGCTCTGACGGACAGCTAACGATGCTAATCTGCTGCCTTTGTGAGCCAGTTGGAGCATAGTGTGGAACCAATAATCAAAGCCGGGCTTTGTCAAGTCCAACTGCTTCTTACCCATTCCCAGCAATGTTAAGCCTCAGCATGGTAATTTTCAACCTCTTTGAGAAACCGAAATGACACTGTCAAACACAACCTAGCTGCGATTGCTCATACATTAAGTCAAAACAATTCCGCCGCCATTAATTAGCATTGCTGTGCTGTGCTGCAAGACGGGTCACGACTCAGCAGGGTCTGCGACCTGGAAAGGATTTTCGTACCCGGAGGTACCCACGTCCAGTGTGCCTCTCGCTAAGGCTCCGGCTACTCGAGTCACGTGCCACGTCTACTCCGGTCTACCAGCGGCGAGAAAGTCGTGCTCCCCTCACGCCGAGGCGTTTGGGAAGTCACGCGCCCGCTGCCCTGTAAGGCGCGTACAAAATAGACCAGAACGACTGCTGTTTTTTAACCCAGACTTCTTCCGAGCGCTCCCCGCCTTAGCGCAGCCGGGGCCCGAGCGGGTCTACGAACTCTCGCGGGGGGGGGGGGGGGGGAGGGGGGGCCATCGTGTGACGGTTTCGGCGAAGGTGGCTTTTTTGCCGGTCCGGACGGCGCCTCTCACCGGGCCGCTCGAACGTGTCCTTAAAGCGATCGCGCGCACAAAATCCCGCTTTGCACTGCCACGGTCCCTTCTGCCTCGGTCGACTTTCCTTACCGCGGGATGACGTTCGCAGTTTAAAACCCTAACGGTTCCCGCGACGGCGTGAAACGCTGCAAATCACCATCGGCTGTTCTTCGTTGGCTCTTAAGCGCAAATCTGCTCCTGGCTGTCGTGGCCCTCGAAAGGTTAATTTGGGCAACAGCTGGTGAGATGGGGAGCGAGAGCGTGGCAGAGTACAAATTGGCCTAGCCCGGAGCTCACGGCATGAAACCTGTCAGGAGGCTGTGCAAAGAAGTGGCATGGCGCTAATTACCGTTCCTTCCTTTATCTTGGCTGCACATCTCTCACTCCCCATCACTGGCGCACTCCCTCCCTCTTTCTCTCTCCCTCTACCCTCTTGTTGCACTCCCTTTCAGCCTTACTTTCCTACTCCCCGAGTGTAGGTTCTTGCAGAAAAACATGAAATTGCTGCTGCTGATGGTGATTTTTTTTATCCCCTCTGCCCCCCCCCCCCCCCCACATACTTTTCTTTGGTGTCTTACCTGGGTGTGTTGTGTTCCATTGTGAAACGGTGGCGGGGGTTCGGTAGGATGCGTGCAATGTTATCCCCCCCCCCACCCCGTTTAATTTGATGGCACGTGTAAGGAGCGGCACCTCGTCGAAATGTGTCGCTGCGTGGGTGTAGTTTTCTAGCTGGTGAAGGCCCCCCGGGGTCGCATAATACATCGGTCATAATTCCCGTTACGCAGCCAAAGCCTCATTCAGTTTCAATATTTTAGTTGTAAGGAGGGTCCTGCTGCATTGGGATATTTGGCCATTTCCAGTCGCGAGCTTTTCGGCTTTGAGATTACCGCAGCGTGGGACAAAAACCAGAGAAGCCGGGGAGAAAAGACCACGTGCGTATCACGAGGGCGCTACGCTCCCAACTTTCGCTAACAGACAGTTTCAATTACCCATCTCCCGAGCTTGGGACAAATGCACAAATGAGTGGCGACGCGCCCTGCGGCCCAAGCACAGTGCCCGCAGAGGCCAGGAAACCGCGATCGCAGGTGCGCTCAGACTTCGGCATTTCATTTGTGTGTGAAGAGCCCCATGGCGTCGGGTAATGGGAAGTGCCGGAGCCCCAGGTCCTCTACGCCGAGCCGTCTGCTTGCTCAAAGCAGTTCTTCGATCGTGCGTGGTGCGCAACAATTCTCTCTCTCTCACTCCATTCCGCTGAGGCGAAGAATTCGCTCCGATGTTTATTTGATTTTTTTTAACTCGGCCCCGGTCGTTCTCCTCTCCCTCTGTCTGTGGACGCTCCTAATGGCTGTTTCTCTCGCAGGCCATTTTGCACCCTGACACGGGCGAGAAGATTTTCATGCCGTTCCGGATGTCAGGTGAGGCTTTCGCTCGGCGCACTCGGACGCGGTCTTTTCGCACCATGCCGAATATTTTGCTCGTTAACGAGGGGTTACTGGGCTGCTCTCTCCCTCCACCACAGCACCCTTACCCCCTCCCCATGCGAACTTCCTTGCCTCCTGCTTGTCGCTGCACCTCCTTGCTTCCACCTCCCACTCCACGCCGCCTCCACCACAGCCACCGCCACTCCGACCACCACCACAGCTCCACCATCACCGCCGCCACCGCCGCTGTACACCATCACCACCACTCCAACCACCACCGCCGCTACCGTTGCTGTTACGACCATTGCCAACGCAACGACAAACACCACCACCATGGCCAACATCTACCTCTATTACCATCGCCACCTCAACCCCCGTCACCACCTCCTCCACCAGCAACACTGAAACCACAGTCATCATCACCACCACCACTGCCCGCCACCCCCACCTCCAACAGCACCACCAATCCAACCAACCAACCCCACCACCGCCACCGCTACGAATCAACACCCAGCACCGCCACCCTCGTGGGCCGTCCTCTCCCGCTCACCTGGTGTGGCCGTTGGTGGCAATTAACGAGTAGCGGCGTCTGTTAGAGAAGGAATTAAATGCAGAAGTGGGGAAGGGAGGAAGTAAAAAAATTGGAAAGAGCGTGCAAAAGAGAATCACAGTGCACTAACGTGATCGACTGCATCCAGCAAAGTTTTAGAACCGTGCATACGGCTGGGCAGAGAGAGAGCCCTGCTATCAGATTAAGCCAGGCATGAAATATGAAACTCATACCCAACCTCCAGCCTGGGTGCTTTTTTTCCCCCCCTTCCTCTAAGCACAATGGGATGTATATTTAAAGGACCTTAAAAAAAACCCCAGCTTTAATGAGCCAAGGGTCTGTAGATTCATCAGCGACTTTGTTTGCCTGTTAATTAACTGATTTAATTTTGGCATGGGCGCTGTTTTCAAACAAAAAAAAATGGTTTACAAGGTAAGCCCACTGAGGCTATATAGCGACGCCCACAAATTATAGCTCAACGAAGTGGCTTAGCACGTGGAAATGTATAGCAGCGAAATGCTCTAAACGCGTGATGTTCATTCTAAATGTGGAGGGATAAACCGGAGGTCCCGGACAAAAATCCAGGCAAACCACGGGGAGAACGCGCAAGCTTAAAATATACGAGCGTCAGGAGTCGGGATCGAACCCACGACCTCCCGTATACCACGCAGGGCAGTTACCATCTCGCCACCGTGGGTGCCTCCCTTTTGCCCGCGCTCGAGCCGGGGACTGAGGACTCCGTGGCGCTCGGCTTGTTTAACGGGAGTGGGGAGGGAAGGCGGCGTCTTTGACGAGTTCCGAAGTGAAGAGCGATAAATATCCCGCCCGTCGACGGCTCCTTGCCTTCAGCAGCCGGGCCCCTCTTGAAGATAATGCACAGCTCAATAAATAACCCTTGGGAGGGGTTAATTGATCATTATCGCTCTCGGGCAAACACCCTTGAACGTAATTGGCGTTCCATATTTCAACACGTCCAGGAGTGCAAAGAAGGAAAGTCCCTCTGAATTAAGCGATGTCGTTACATTACCCCCACATTACATTGCCCCGCGCAAACGAACGGAGCTTGCAGTAACACACTCCGGTAATTTATTGCCCGTGCACACATGTTCTTGGGAATAATGCTGGGCTTGGTAATGGCGGAAAGCGTGTGGGGGGTTTTTCCCCTCTTCCCCCCACCGCCACTTCTCCACCGTGACGCGCCGCGTTTGCCGAAATGCTCGGGGCCACGATCCACGTGTTCGCATACATCTCACAGTGGCCACCGCTCGTCACCCGGCTGCTCAGGCCGGGCCGAGGGTGCGGTTTGGCCGCCATCGCATGGGGATTCCGTGTGGGATAATTACCCGGTGTGCGCACGGCGAAATTTGCGGGACAGGTCCGAGCATGCGGCCGAGCGAATGTGTGGCGTTTCCGAGAGGGTGAACCCTCCCCCCCCCACCCCCCTCTCCACTGCCCCTCCCCTCACCCCGCCGTCGCTACCCTCCCGATCGTCTTCATAAGCGCACACAAATCTAAATGCGGTGTTTTATTTTCCGTCTTCTGTAGTTGTCATTTTTGCGCTCTCCGATCGCGTCGTGAGACCAAAATATCCGTTCGCATGCATCTCATGCATGCGTGGAAGCGGATATCACAGAGCTTGCTCTCAAGTGGACTCTGGCTATACAGTAGAGAGTAATGCTCATCTCGTGACGGCCAGCCCGATAATGAATTGACGGAGCTCGTATTTTAAGTGCAGAAACACATTTTACGTGAGGGTTTTTGGTCGTGCAGTCATTTGTGAGAAGACGGTTTAGTCACGGGTGGCTGCCTGCATTCGAACCCAGGGAACGCAGCGGTGCTCAGCGCTCTGACCTCTGAGTCACGTAGTCACCTCTTAAAATAGTTTTTAAATATCATGCGTGAATTATGCAGCGTTAAAAAAAATTACGTTACATTTTCTCAAACAAAACGCATTTGCAGAGATTATTGTTTTTTTTTAAAACGGTTTCATCGCAGAGGTGATTTGAGATGGATGAATGTGAACGTAATACAAAGTTAATACGCATCATCCACCTGTCACAATATCACCCGCAATGCCACTGATCTCATCAGATTTCGGAAGCTAAGCGAACTTTAGCCTGGATATTTCCTGGATAGGCCACTGCCATGCAAAACAGGTCTTACAGGCTCTGAAGGCAGCGTGATGGGCGACAGAGGGCAGTGCAGCATAAAGTCCACCTTTGTACTGCGCTTCCATGCGGATATGTTCATCACCTTCACCAAACCGAGCTGAGCTCACTAACATAACGATTACGGCCCAATGAAGCCACATGTCCCGGTGAGGCCCTCATCAAGCAGTGGACAATGGGCCGCACAGGTGCAGGTACAAGCAGCGTCCGCAAATCGGCTTTCTGGATAACAGCGTACCGGGTCGTGGTGACCACGGTAAAGTGCCGCACTCTGCTGCCCGAGCATTTCGATTTTTTTCTCCTTTGGCGACGCTGCACAGGTGCCCTTGCGCTGGCACATTGACCGCCCCGCACACATTGCGGTGACTAATCCCCAGTCGTACAACCAATCCGTCAACACCGCCTACCCGTGTCAGCCGTGCGCCACCTGCCTCTGTCTCTGCGTTTCCTCCGCGGTATTCGTGAGTGGAGTTTCTCCACCCCCGCTCTTGTGAACCGGCCGCAGTGGCACACGACACACACGTGATGTATTAAAAATAATATTTTCTATCGGGCACTGCGGTTGAGAACTATTGACTCACTATGTCTCTCGCCGCTACCCTGTCTCTCTTCTATGAAGAAGAGCCATTGCCCAAAACATTGCCTAATGGACACTGTTTCTTCTTTAGAACAGTGTTGATTGATGCGTTAACCTGCAAATGAGAAGTACTTAAGTATAACTTAAAAAAACAGACAAAAACCTTTTCCATGAGCCTGAGATTTTACTTACTATGCACTCCCCTCCCCCCTTAATTATATGTTGATATTTAATGCTTTCTGTACCAACAATGTTTAACATCCTGTGTTTACACAGAGACAGGGGAAGGTATTATTGTTATTTCTTACACACCCCAAGCTTTGCGCGTAATAAAGCAAGGTGAAGCGGGCCCACAAAAGACATGGCCGAAACACGTTTGCGTCAAGACATGTGGCGTGAATTTCACACCACCTGGGGTGCCTAACGTCTACCTTGTTCGCGCCAGATCCGCTAAAATAACACCATAACAGTCGTTAAATCCAAGGGTAACTTTTGGGGATGTTTAAAGTGGCAAGAGCTGTAATTTAAAGGCCTTGCAAGGGTTTTTATTTTGGAATATATATCTATATCTCCGTAATGCCCCTGTGCCGGTCGTTTTCATGGGCTCTAAGCCAGGACCGGCTTGTGAGGCCTTTTCCCAGGCTGATGAACCTCTTAGTATTCATACACCCACTGCTTCATCATCAGCCATGATCTATACACTGCTCGATGAAGGCCTCCTCCTCAAGCTGTCACCACGTCCAACAGTCAAACGATGCCACAGTCTGGCTTTTGCACTTCTTCGCCGTGTTCATCCTCTTGGGTGTGAACACTGGCCCGTCATGTCTCCTTGCAACATATCCCTGCCCTACAAGTGGTGATATTGTTGTGCTACGATGATTTGAATCGTTCTACATAATGCTCCAGATATATTCGATGAAAACGGTCGTCCACCAGAATTTTTTTTAAATTCTCAAGATACCACTCGCTTGCAATTTCAAGTGTAATACACAGCATATCATGGCCAAGGGAGGGAGTGACTTGCCAAATGATCATCATAACTAGCCTAATGACCCTTGCGATGCTATGAACCCAAATTGGAAAAATACACTAATTGGCTGAAGCCATGTAGTAACATCACTCCTTACTGTGAAACTACTGTAGACCATAATTGTCTAAAACATAGCGGTTTCATAATAGCCCCTTTGCTATAAATAACGGCACAAAATACCAAATGTATTATGATTTCAAGGACCGTGTAATTGCCCGTCCTTGTGGATAATCCTTGGCTCTCCTTCGTGGTGCCCTAAGTCCAGACACCGATCTCGTCGCCTTGCTTGCCACCACTTGCAAGGCCTAGCGAGCTCTGCCTCCACGTCTATCCCACGCTACGCCATGCTTTCCACTCGCAGTCTTAATGCGCCGGGCGCCTTGACAGCCCATGCTCCTCTGCGTCGGCATAAACCGTTACGCTGGCCTCCTGTGCCTTGCCACCTTTGTCTGGCCTTCTCTGTTCTGCCTCCTGTGCCCAGCCTCTTCTGTTCGGCCTCCTCTAGCCAGCCTCCTGTGCCCGGCCTCCTGTGCCCAGCCTCCTATGTCCTGGAGGAATCCGATGAGCTATAAAGCTATTTTTCACAGATGTCCAGTAGCGGTGGGTCAGATAATTAAAACAACAAATGATACAAAACACGATCAGAGTGCAGAGTATAGGAGAGGTAAGCAAATCATTAAACGAATATATATTTTTATTTTCCCAGGTAAAGCCGACTGAGCTGTTAGCTTCTTTTTCAGAAGCGACCTGGCCACAAACGATAGCTTTACGAATTGGCTCATCACGTGGACACTTATAGTGGCCAAAAATTCAAAATAAATAAAAATTCCCATGGGCCACGTCAGTCTAAACCAGGGGTGGGGAACGTCTGGCCCGCGGGCAGGATAAGGCCCGCGAAATCATTTGGTCTGGCCCTGCCAAGGCAACCGCAGGCGGGACTCGAAATTCAATAAATCTAGGAGCAAACCTGGAAAAGCAGTTGTGAGTAGCAACATCATCAATACCAGCTAACATCACACCCTCACCAAAGAGAAGCAGTTCCAGCCATCACATTAGGGGTGAGTGAATTTAATGTTTGACCAAATATAACAGGCTAATTTTTAAGTTGATAATTTTGTATGGCCCGCGAATGATGTTATAAATATCCAAATGGCCCTTGGCAGAAAAAAGGTTCCCCACCCCTGGTCTAAACGATAGCCGATGTCCTACAACAGTGCCGTTCCTATTTTGGCCATCCATGGCAGTAAATAAAATGCGTTCCATTGGTTGGCAGCTGCAAAACGTTGCAAAATTTGTCCTGAACGCACTTTGCCGACTTCAAATCCGAGATGATTTTTCATTGGAATCACATGACTCGGCAGCGAAAATGCTCGACGGGGCCTCTGAAAGCAGCTGTTTCAGCCCATAAAACAGGAGGCCGATTGAGCCCCCGGCAATGATTCGATATTGTTTATCACATTTATTAAGCACACGTGCTGGCGCTGTTCGCGCTGCTGGAGAGGGTGGTGTTGCGAGATGTGTTAGATGTTTATTACGTTCGCAGCCATTCACTCAAAAGTAATTTGTTGACATAGAGCGAAGTTCTTATTAAGGCGAACGCATACCTGTCAAACCCATACGGTTTACCCGTATTCTAGTACAGTGAAATTGAGTTTTCAGGTCCATACGGCGTACAGCCGTTGCAATACGGGCGAACATTTTTTTTTTAAATTTGTGTTTCTCCCTTGTGATGGGACTTTGTGGGATGAACGTTGAGATGTATAAGGGTACGGGGTGACCAATAATGTCTGAATTGGTCTGTAATAAGGTCGGCACTGATAAGGGGTTGACAGGTATGCGAATAACAGTGCCTGGTGTGTGTGTTTATGAAGTACTTTTGCTTTGTTGTTTGTGGCCTAAATTAATGGACAAATAACGGCAGATCAAGAGTTGTTTTGAGCGAATTGGCCAACAAATGCAAAACCAAAAACCGCTCTGTAAATAAACGTTAATTCCGCATGTTTTATGGTTGAAAAGAAAAGCTATATTCCCAAGGCAGCGTTGCTAATTCTGTATACAAATTAAAATTACTGTAAGTTCAAGGTAAGCAGTGATGTTTATTTAAAAAAAAAATGATTGTAACTTAGCTTGAATCAAGGTAGTGTAGAGCTGAACACATTTCCGTTCCGTTTGAGGCCTTGGACTTAGACTTTATTATTCCAGCTGGTGAGGCCCCAGTGAGCTGAGCAGCTCTGCTACGAGGACGACCACAGCTCAAGACTGTCGGCAGTGTTGACAGTTACAGGACATTGCAGTTAACGGGACATTACAGTCACGGGACATCACAGTTACAGGACATTGCTGGGAGGGAATGTAAAAACTAACAAGAGCCAAAAAACATTTATTTACGCGAACTAAGCCTTGCCCATCAAGTTGTATATAAATTGGACCGAATCGTGAACTCGCAACAGAATCCACAGCCATCCAAAACCAAAGTCTTAATTCTCATTCTTCTCATCTGAGTCGCCCAGGTGGTTTTTATGAGTGTAGTATCTGACTTTCAGTTCTTGCAGCAGTTTTTTTTACTGTTGCTTTTCTAACGTTGCCATTATTGATTATAAAGCGGTTAACGACCTTTACAAAATCAACAAAAACACTGGGAACCTGATTAAAGAAATGACATTTTGTTGATTTTGGCTGATAATTCCACGGCATATTTTCCAATATTACGTAACCTGGGATAAAAATAGTACTTTAGAGAAATGTAATTACCAAGCATTTCATAAATGCAGTCTTGAACACATTATTATAATAATTATTATACGATGCCTTAATGTGTGTGGCCTTTTGGATATTTGATACAAATTGTAATGATTATTTTGTGTCATGTTTTTTTATATCTTTTTTTTTTGTTGAGCGAGGACGCGTTTATTACTGGGGAGGGTCCTTGCCAAGAAACACCGGGCAGGTTCACCGGCATTTATTCTCAAGCAAGGCTGACTGCAAATATGACAGGGACATGTTGGAACCGGTCCAGCGTTTGCTTGTCATGAACCAATGCTGCTGATACGATTTACTCCCAGTAGGCCGTGTGGCAGATGGTTTGGTGTTTAAACAAAAAAAACGGTTTACGGAGACAAATATTGGAAGGGGAGGCATTGTTTATTTCGTTAAACAAATTTAGTGTCACTTGTGGGCAAACAAAGTCATAGAAGCTTGCTTGCGGAAAAGAGAAATGAGGAATCTCGTTATTACCGTGGCGTGCAATTTGTGGGTTACAGCTCTTGTGTCTTAATCAGTTAGCGTAATGGGGTGGCATGGCAGGGTGGGCGGCCATGCGTTCAGGCTGGGTGTGCTTATATTTTAGCAATGAAGAACACGCGAAAACAAGGGCCAGGCCAATTCCGCACTCAAACAGGGAACTGTTTTGTCTGAAATTACCCTAATATAACTTGATGCAACACAAGCTCTTGTTTCTATTTACCACTGTATTCATAACCGCGTGCATGTGGTACCGCTGAAGCCACGGCTCCCATTTCATGGAAAAGCGTAATCCTATCGTCCGTGACCTTCACGGCGGTAATTGTGTTGCTGTATATTCCTATTGACTTGAAAATTGCGTTAAAATGAAATAATTAGCCATCGCCGGGCAGTGTAATAACAGTCGAATGAATCATGTTTAAGAGATTATAATTAAAACCAAAAGCACGTTATAGGAAAAGGCATCTCAGTTTCGTTTAACTGATTTCAAAATATCAGGCCACCAGCGAGCGAGATTAGGGTAGGAAACTCGGAGTCCAGTCCGTTCATTATGAAATTGCCACGAAAGAGAAAGTAATTTAAGAGTAATGCCAGCCTAATTCATGACTTAATGTTTCCCTTCTGCCTGGTGTCTGGCTCTTAATGTGAGGACTATGTGCTCTGTGATTAAAATATAACGAGCAAATTTCTTCTCTCCTCAGGTTACGTACCGTTTGGGACCCCCATTGTGAGTATGTTACATCTCATCCATTTCATCTACACTGCTTCATTTATTACCGCATTTCTTTCAGGATGTAACCTCACACCTGACGTGGCTGCCCCGCATTATTGCGTGTGTTATGACTGGGGGTAGTGGGGTTTGCGCCGGCGTTACCGCTCGCAGGAAAAGCATTTTTATGGCGAAGGAAAAATAAATCTCACAAGATTTGGAGATTGCTTCCTCATGTTATTCACTTCCTAACAATTTTTTTTATAAATGAAAGATCCTATTTTCTGTACTTTATAATTTCGCGAAAACAATGGCCGCGGAGGATCAGCGGTGCAGCGGGTTAACGAACTGCGCTTTGAACCCAGCGAGCCGAGTTCAGAGATCTCTGAGAGATCTATGAACTGAACAGGTGCCAGGCGGCCGCTTTACCAAGCCGCACTGTGCCAGCACAGCATGGGCAGGGCCTTCATCGAGCAGTGGATTGACAGAGGGCTTCATCGTTTTTGTGTCCATCGTACCAACGTCGTCAGACCAATGACGACCGTTTTGGACACTGCTCTAAATACACGGCGACCCGAGTTTGATTCCCAGCCACGGCTAATATCGGTCGCGCACGATGATATCCGAACCAGTTCCGCGCCTATCCCCAGTTTGACTCGGCCTTTAAACGAGTTCCTTCTGCAGTGTGTAAACATAAGCGCTGGGGACATAAAGGTGACCATTTCGCGGCCCTCGTACGGTCAGTCACTGCTCGCCAATTGGTATTAACTGCAGCTCCATTGTTACAGGCTGCAAGCTTGCAAACCATTTCTGCGCAATATTTTAAGACCTCGCCGGAGCCGCGAGCGTTGGCTGCGGCACGTGGCCTCCATCCGGCAGTGGATAGACACTGGCTGATGACGACGACGCCGATCGCGGAACCATTCGCGAAGGTCCGTTTCACGTTTTGCTTCTCCGTCAATGCGGCCGCTTGCTCATGCCCAACCACGTTAGAGACACGGCGCTGTCGTTGAGTTGAGTGGGTCCCGCTGTGTCACCGCTCGCCCATTGTCTTAAGAGGGAAGGCGAAAGCCACCACCCTCAAGGTTGCGCGTTCGGCGTTTTGACGATGCGCCGCACGAGGGATCCAAATAAATTATTGTTTTGCTCGCCGGTTTGCGCGTGTGATGAAGGCCATTGCATGGACGTTGTTTTTAGCGAGCCGCAGGAAACACTGGGGGACTGGGCGCATAACGAGCATCGATGCCGACGCTCGGGATATTTGCGTGGAATTGTGGACGTTCAAATGGATTTGATGTTACAAGTGATGCAAAGGACATGCGAGTGAAACGCCAACGTCGCACTCGGGTTTAATTTTACAAACACTGTGCATACGAGACGGGAAAAAAAACAACAACAGCAATTGAGAAACAATAGAAACGAAAAGGCATAAACTATACGGGTAAAAAAAAAATTAACCCTCCGAATGGTACACGAGTTGAGTCGTGGCGAGGGGTGAGCCGGTGCGTGCCCCGTGACCCGTAGCCTGTGTGAGGCCGATTGCTACACGCAGCACACATGGCGCTTGCGAAACTTCGCGCGCGCAGCCGCGTATCGGATGCTCAAGCAAAACGGTCGCACCTGCTGGTGCTGCTGCCGCCACAGCTCGGCGGGAGTTGCGGCTGCTCAGGCAAGCGCAGCCCCAACGACCGAACATCGTGCGGAGGGCTTGAAACGCGTTCCTGTTGTTTTCCCCGACGCTATGTCGGCCACGATCCTATCCAACGCTGGATGAAGGCCTTCCCCCAGGCCGTTTCGCCGTTGCTCCGTGGTTCCCTGCGCTGCGGAAATCCGTTGGGGCTCTGGCGTTGCGAGCCGATTTTGCCGCTCCAGTATTCTGGGGTGGACGTGCTCCCGGATGTGTTCTCCCCTCCGTTGTTTGGTGCTGACCCACCGGTCATGGTCCCTTTTATAGCGGTGTGGCCTCCCGTACAAACGCAAAAAATGACGGCCCGAGGCCGATTGGTTTCACTTTAATTGGGCAAGATTAAGCCTGCAGTTCTACAATTGCTTTGTCCCATTCTAAACACTTACACATATATATGTGATCGTCAGCGAACCAAGTAGTTCGCCTCCATGGAGTGTGATCCTGAAGCCGGTGGAAAGCGCATGAAGCCTACCACCAGTTGCCACGGGGCCCCACACAGTTAGTTTTGCGTGTGAAATTTTAACCCGACCGCGTGGCCGTTTGCACTGAAAAATCGAAAGAGCCGAGCACACAACTCTCCCCAACAAGTTGGGGATTGTTCGGCAGTCATTAACACTGACCATGTGTGATGCTTGGCCGGGAAGTGGGGCCCGATTGACTATTAGAAATCGGTCAATACAAACACGTTGCTACAGAGAGCTGCAGTGCTGGAAAATATTTACTTTAATGGGACGAATAAGTACGTCTTGTTAATACAGATGATGTGGCGATGCCGCTGCTGCGTTGGCAGAGGTGCACAAAGCACATCTATCAAACAATAAAACGGAACGCATTTGTCGACAACACTGCATGGCCTTAGACGGCACAATATGTAACGGGCGACGTTTCGAGCAATGTTCCATTTGCATAACGCGCTTAAACGTGTCGTCTGGAATGCGATTCCGACATTAGGAAGCCACTGGGGAGCGATTCACTTTTAAATCTAGATTGAAAACTCAATTTATTGAGAACTGCTTTTTGTGTATGGTCTGTTGTCCTTCCCACGCACCTCCGATTTGCACGGTTGGCTACGTACGGTGCGAAAGAAGTTCGACATTCATACTTACATTCATGAAAGTATTCTGTTTTTCACGTTTTTTTTATTGTCTGTTCTCATATTCCATTAAGCCTCAAATGCACACACGCACAGATCCAGCTGAACGTGGTTAGACTGCGTCGTATCGCAGGCTCACAAAGGATTTCCTTTGTGAGCCTGGAAAACCACGCCGAGACCTCGGTAACCCGGTGAAGAATCGCTCTCCTGGGGAGGGGGGGGGGGTGCGGTGGCGGAGGGTCTTAATTATTGATAAGTGTTCAGCTGGTGGAGCATCTCGGCATGTGGGAAGTGAACTTGATTCCCAGAGAAGACCTACGCAAGCGAGGCGATAGGTTGAGCAGCAACCTCTTCGCCGCACTGGCCTACTGCAAGACACTCGTGCATCGAGTGGTGGGGCACGGCGGTTGGTGACTATTGACGAGTGACATCTGAACCTGGCCCTGGCATTTCCCTAGGTCGACTCAGCCTTAAATGAGTATCTGGTGTGGTACGTAAACGTCGCCACTCGGGAGATAAAGTCGGACGGGCGTGGTGCTGGCCATCCTCCCGCTCATGCGCCGTGCCGGCCTTCATAGCTGCTCGCTAACAGAAATTTCCCCAAAGGCCTCTGTAGGCTATACAGGGAGGGGGGGAAATCTCTTGTCTTTTTGTTGCCTCATGCGTACGGTGGCTTCATCTTTGCCTGATCCACCAACCCGGGCCTCCCCCAACTGTCCGGACTCGGGGGAGGCCTGGCGGTTGGCGACGCGCACCTGGCGGATGACCCCGTTGAGACGAGACTCGCTCCAGAATCCTCCGCAGGGACAGGGGGCCCGCCAGGTCTCCCCTCCTCCTCCTCCTCCCTCCTTCATTCCTGCCTGCCTGCCTCCTCCTTGGCGGCGGGCTCGCAGGTGCCACGTCTTGCCGCTCGGGGAGTTTTACGATCGCGATCCGAGCGGCCCTGTCAGGGCTGACGGTACGCAGCTGCCCACCGACTGCCACAACCCGCCCCCCTCCACCCCCCGCGTGCTGTGCCAATGCGACAGTGCTGCCGCTGTCCGCCCTCCGCGGGCTTCGCCGCGAGGGCGTGCTTGGCCGCGGAGCGTCTGGTGATCAAAGTGACCCTGCGCTGACGGAGGGGGGGTCGAGGAAGAACGCGTTGAATGCATTGCGTCAATTGGTTTTAAACGTGCCGGCCGTTGAAACCTCGTGAAAAAATATATATATGAATATAAAAACAAATACTTGCCTTGGAGTTATTCTCATTATGCTTCACGTATACCCTCAATGCGCTGAGGGGGGGGGGGGCGCGGCATTGCGTCATTGGCATTTACCGTTGTGGGCCGATGGGAGGACTGATGGAGAGACGGACTGAGGGATGAACGTACAGATGGGAAAGACGGGCGAAGGGTGAGGAGGGGGGCGACGGATCGAGCTGCCTTTCGGCGTGGGTGCCGTACTCTCCTGTGCCGCCGTGGGTGACACAATCCAGACGCAGAGAGTCGGAGGAAGATCCTTGCCACGGGGCGGATAGAGCGCATTACTCACGCGCGGGATGGATGACTTAACGCGAGCGCGGGGATTCCTTCGGCCTGCGGCGTGGCCTCCGGGGGGCCCCCCCCCCCGTCACTCATGCCGGGTTTGATAACGGAGCCGGCGGATGGACGCTTGCGCGTGTGCGGAATGCAACCCACCCGATCACCCCCCCGAAAAAACGCATTCGTCCTTGTTAGTTTTAATCGAGGACACCGCTCGTGATTTACACCCACGAGGAGATAGCGGCTGTGCACCGTGCGGTATTCGAAACATCCGCTATCGCCGTGCTCCTGTTGATAGGAAGGAAAGGTTTGCGCGCACGCTCTTACGTAAGTCGGCCCGCTGATTTATATAAATGCCGGGCTTATCCGTCGATACGAAACTACTTCAGTTGTGGTCAAGTCTGTTATAAACAATTGGCAGTTGGTAACATTATTTATTATGTTTGTAAATGTAATTTTTTTAAAATCAAAATCATAATCACAATAATGGCAATGATTTACCCCACAAAGGCCTTACTGAGTCTAAAGACACCTTACACAAGAGGGTCTGGCATTTGGATGTTTTGCCATGAATACACTTAACCTCTTCGGATCTCAGAAGCTATGCAGTGTTTTTTAGCCTGGCCAATACTTGGGTAAGCCCAGTGTTTAGCAGCTGTTTGCTAGAGGTGTGGGGCTGCGAGGTGGACAGGACATGGAAGTGCCGTACATCACCCCC